TCTCACAGTTTAGGAGGCTAGAAATCAGAGTTCAGAGCACAGTCTCTAGGGGAAGGCATTCTGTCTGTGGGTCTCTTGGTCCTAGGAGGATCCTGGCACAGGGACCCTGGGTCCAAAGGACTAGTTCTGCTCTCAGCTCTTCTTCTCTGCTCATTCTCTCTCCTTTTATCATGGCATAATGCCAAAGGCATTTGACTGCTAACCAGGAGGCTGGTGGTTCAAACCTACCAGCCACTCCTCAGAAGGAGGATTGGGCAATCTACTTCTGCAGCAATATCGCCTCGGAAACCCAAGGAGGTGGTGGTATGAGTTGGATCTGACTCAACGGCAGTGAGATTTTTATAATTTTTTTAAGGTAAAAGGTGTTGTAGATTACTCCCCAGGGAAACTCCCCTTACATCAGATCCAGGCTGTGAGGAGATTAATGGTGTTGTATCCCACCCTAATCCTCTTACAACTGATTGGCTTATCACATCAGATCACACCATGGATGGATCATTCCCAAACTGCCAAACCACTGAGAATCATGGCCCAGCCAAGTTGACACTTTTTTTTTTTTTGGGGGGGGGGGGACATAGTTCAATCCATGACAAGCAGCTAAAGTGAAAGGGAGAATGCTGTCCTAAGAGTTGAACTGAAGATTTCAAAGGATGGCTTGAGAAGACAAAGTATTAAAATGAAATGGAGTGGTTGTTGTTAGGTGCCATCAAATTGTCTTCGACTCATAGTGACCTTATGTACAGAATGAAACACTGCCTGGTCTGTGCCAGCCTCACAATCTCTGCTACACCTGAGCCCATCATTGCAGCCACTGGGTCAGTCCATCTCATTGTGGGCCTTCCCCTTTTTTGCTGAACTTCCACTTTACCAAGCATGATACCCTTCCTCAGAGAATGGTCCCTTCTGACAACATGACTAAAGTAGGTAAGACGAAGTCTGGCCATTCTTGCTTCTAAGGAGCATTCTGGCTGCACTTCTTCCAGGATAGATTTGTTAGTTCTTTTTGTAGTTCATGGTACTCAGTATTCTTTGCCAACACTATAACTCACAAACATCAACTCTTCTTCGGTCTTCCTTATTCATCGTCTAGCTCTCAGATGCGTATTAGGTGACTGAAAATACCATGGCTTGGGTTAGGCACATCTTCATCTTCAAGGAGACGTCTTTGCTCTTCAGCACTTGAAACAGGTCTTTTGCAGCAGATTTGCCCAGTGCAATACGTCTTCTGATGTCTTGACTGCTGCTTCCATTGGTGTTGATTGTAGAACCAAGTACTAGGAAGTCTTTGACAACTTCAGTCTTTTCTCCATTTATCGTGATGCTGCTTCTAGGTCCAGCTGTGAGGATTTTTGTTTTCTTTATATTGAGATGTAATCTGTACTGCAGACTGTATTCTTCAGTCTTCATTAGTAAATGCTTCAAGTCACCTTCACTTTCAGCAAGCAAAGTTGTGTCATCAGCGTATCACAGGTTGTTAATGATTCTTCCTCCAATCCTGATGCCATATTTTTCTTCATATAGTCCAGCTTCTTGGATTATTTGCTCAGCCTATAGATTGAATAAGTATGGGGAAAGGATACAACCCAGATATATTTCCTTCTTGATTTTAAACCATGCAGTGTTCCCTTGTTGTTTGAATGACAGCCTCCTGATCAATGTACAGGTTCCTCATGAGTACAATTAAGTGTTCTGTAATTCCCATTCTTCTCAATGTTATCCACAATTTGTTATGATCCACAGAACCAAATGCCTTTGCACAGTCAATAAAACCCAAGTAAACATCTTTCTGGTATTCTTTGCTTTGAGTCAAGATTAATCTGACAGCAGCTACAACATCCCTTGCTCCACGTCCTCTTCTGAATCCAGCTTGCACCTCTGGAAGTTCTGTGTCAATATACTGCTGCAACCATTTTTGAATTATCTTCATTAAGATCTTACCTGAGTGCAATATTAATGATATTGTTCTATAATTTCCACATTCTGTGGGATCACCTTTGTTTGGAATGGGTACAAATATGGATCTCTTTGACTGCTGCTTCCATTGGTGTTGATTGTGGAACCAAGTAAAATGAAATCTTTAACACAACTTCAATCTTTTCTCCATTACTGGTGATGCTGCTTATTGGTCCAGTTGTGAGGATTTTCGTTTTCATTATGATGAGGTGTAATCCATACTGCAGACCGAAGTTTTTAATCTTCATCAGTAAATGCTTCAAGTTATCCTCACTTTCAGCAAGCAAGGTGGTATCATCTGCATATTGTAGGTTATTGATGTCTTCCTCCAGTCCTGATGCCCTGTTCTTCATATAGTCCAGCTTCTCAGATTATTTGCTCAGCATACAGATGGAATTAGTATGGTGAAAGAATACAACCTTGATGAACTCCCTTCATGATTTAAACCATGCAATATCCCCTTGATCTGTTCAAATGACAGTCCCTGGTCTATGTACAGTCTTTTCATGAGCTCAATTAAGTATTCTGTAATTCCCACGTTTAAGTGTCTTGAGAGGAAGGAAAGGTTTCCCAGGGAGAGTGACATCTACTGTGTGACCCGAAGGATAAGTCAGTTAATAGGTGAATGGGGGAGTCAGGAAACAATATTTCAAAGGAAAAATGCCCCAATATTTGAAAGTGTATAGTGCTCTTGGGGCTACTGAAAGTATTTTATTATCGTAGTAGATGAGGAATTTATGTCTTGGGATGGAGATTAGGAATCTGAGCTTTGGGATAAACCCATTCTCTAGCACAACTTTTTTTTTTAATTGTGATTTGGTTGAAAGTTTACAAATTGGTTTTCCATTCAACACCACATACACATTTTATGACATTCATTGCAATCCTCACATTGCGAGAGTACTCTTCTCATTTCCTCCCTGTGTTTGCCATTTTTGTTGTTCTCTCCTATTCCTCCCTGCCTTCTTACTTTTATCCCTGGGCAAATGCTGCCCTTTTGATCTCGCATCGTTGACTGTTCCAATGAGTGCACAGCTAGCACTGCACATCTTCAAGGTAAAGTGTTCTACAGGTTCAGTTGCCTCTGTTTTGAATGCTCTTCTACACTAGGCTGGCTCCCTATTATCCAGGTCTCAGCTCAAATTATTTCCTGAGGTTTCTTCTGAGAGAGGCTATGCTAGATTTCATACAATCACATGAGCATGCTTTGGTGTAGTATCTCATGGCACTGAGAACTATCTGAAATCAGTTTGTTAGGCTCTGCATGGTAAGACTGTAAACATTGAGAGAGTAAGGCTGTCTTGCTCACCACTAGTATATCCATGATCTACAACACTGCCTTCAAGTTATGCATTGAACATTTAATGAAAGCCTACTATGCACCAAACACTATTCTAGATGATTGGCATAATCGGTGAACAAAATACAAGAATCTTTACCCCTGTGGTATTTTACTCCCCCACCACCCATTACATTCTAGCAAGGGGGAGAAAGAGAATAAACAATACATAAGTAAATTATATGGTATGGTAGAAGCTGGTAAATGCTAAGGAAAGACATAAACAAAAAACAGCAAGTTAAGTGGGATTGAATCTTGGCAGGTAGAAAAGGGCAGTATTAAATAGCATTCCTAGAGAAGACATGAAGGAGATGGGAGTCAGACATGTATTTATAGAGAAAGTGGCAGAGGGAACAACTAATATTAAGATTCTAAGGCAGCTGCATGTCTTTGCCTGGACTGCATGATGCATGAGGCCAACTGGCTGGGGCAGAGTGATTTAGGGGGAGTAGCAGCTGAGGTCAGAGAATAAAAGCTATGGCAAGGATTCTGGCTTTTATTCTGAAATTGAGAGAGACTCAACAGCTTTGAGTAGAAAAGTCATATGATTATAATCTGATTGTTTTAGATGGATGTCTCTTTGCGTCTGTGTTTAGAACAGGCTGTAGAGTTAAGTGTAATGGCAAAACCAATCAAGAAGGAATCAAAACTGGAAATCCTGGATACAGTAGGAGGAAAACTGTGGAACAAAATTAAAAAACACAATAACGACCAAAATTACTGGTTGGATGGAGTCTGGTGGGACCCCGAAGACTATAGCCCTGGGATACCCTTCAGGTCTGGAATGGGACTCACTCCCAAAGATTGGCTCTCAGCCCAACAGCAGAAACACTTACAGGCAGAACACCCAACCTACTGTATGGAGATATATCCCTTGGAGCAATCAGCCACAGGGCACCAGAGGGGGCAGCATTCACATAAAGGGAAAGCTGGACAGACAGGAGTGCATAGTTAAGAAGGGCACAGGGTGTGTGTGGGGGTGTCCCAAGGAAGGGAGGGGAGGAAAGTGGATTAGTGTTGGGGATGGTAACTGGGATATGAAATCAAATGTACATGAACTGATGAGGTAAAACAAATTTTGTTTTCTGTAAATTTGTGCCCAAAGCACAATGAAGAAAAAAAAAAGTATAACGGCAAGCAGATAAATTAGGAGGCTATTAGATAATCCAGGCAAGAAATGATAAACATATAAACTTGTCAGTCAAAAGCATATAGAAGCTATTTAAAGTCACAGAACTGGATGTGATCACCGAAGGAATTTTATCTTGTCCTGATCCACTCAAACCTTCACTTCCAATCTCTACTAACTATCCTTGGTATTTCTTCAGGAAGACTTGATTTTTAATGAAGACTGGCAGTCAAGAAGTTCCAACTTGCTGTACATATTAATTTGAAGATGGCAATGATTTATTTCAGTGACCTAGCAAGTATCTGATGTTTCATTTTGATAAGAACCAAACCTTTTCTTCTTTCAGAAGAGTGATTAACTTCTAAAAAGAAATCCAAATCAGAACTTTATATAATAAGTGATGAAAAGATTTACCAGATCGTATAGACTGAACTCCTTGAAAGCAGAACGCTATTTTGCTCCTCTTTATATTTTCATGGTCTAACAAAATGCATGTCACGTGAGAGGCAATCAGTAGATGTTTTAATGACTATCCAAGAAAGTAAAGCTATCATAATCATAACCCATTAAGACACAAAACAAAATTACAAAAGGAAATTTATTTCAAAAGCATAGGGAACATCGACATTTGAACAGGTGATAAACAGGTGTCTTGCAAGAGGGGGAAAAAAAATCCATGGCATGAAGTTTCTCATTGAAAGTTTAAAAAAAAAAAAGCTAACCTAACTTGTATACTATTGCTTTATGGGAGGGGAACACTGAGGGAAGAACATAAACTCAATATTAAACTTACGTAAAACAAAGTTACTTCTGCTCAGCCTTGAGTTTACAAATATACTTTAAAAAAAAAAAAAAAAGGGACAAGAAAGTTACACTTACTGTTCAAATATTTATAGCTATAGTCCAATACATGGCTTTAGGCCACTGGCTGATCTGCCTTGGAGGCCCAGACTAGCTGGTCACAGTTTTCATATGGTAACTGCATGTTCCTATGTCTGTTCAGATTCCCAAGAAAGCTTAGGTTCAGCTCATAGTCTTTTGGAATGTTTAGAGATTATTGCCACCACTCCATAGTCAAGCTGACCAACTTCCTTTGCTTACCTGTTATCATTCTAGCCTTTAAAAAATATTTTCCCATGAACATTGTGCAGTAATTCTAGCAAAAAAGTTTTGCTTTTTCCCCAATATAGAAGTAACTAAGAGCACATTAATAAACAGTAATAAAGACACCTGTGTTGGAATCACGGACTATTCTCCAAAAAATACATCAAACTAGAAAATGTCATTCAGAATTTGATTTGAATAGCAAACCTGGGGAGGGAAGATTAACTGTGGAACAAAAACAAACATTCAACTGCAAGAGTCTATGCTACAAAAATGCCCATGACATTAAACACTCCACAAACCCCCCATCTGTTGTTTTAACCTAAAGATTCTATTGGCTAACTTATACACTAATTTTGATTAATAACCTGAGAAGTTAAAATCTTAAAAGTGGCAAAAACAAACAGAGAGCATCCCTTTCTTACCACTACACCATGTTATCAAGTCACTTTTCCTGGGTAGCCCTGGTTATTATATCCCCAAATTCTAAATTATACTATCTCCTCCTGTAGAAAGCTGTATGTACATCAGATTTGACATTCTGGTTATAATTCAACAACAGAGATATCCCGAGTTATCTTAGAAAATGTAGCCTTTGTTTATTTTTATGTAACATTAACCTTGTAGGTGCAACTGAATCAAATTCCTCACTACTGGGGAGAAACATCCAGATAACAAGTCAGTAATAGATTCAGCCTCAAAAGGATAATGACTGTGTCAAAGACTGCCCATTCCTGGGATTTAAAATAATTATGTTGTGTAGTCAAATTTCACAGCATGCATATATATATTTATATATATATGCTATGTATGTATATTATACATACACATTTCTATTCTCAATAGTAAGATTCCACGTTCAAAAGTTTACATCATAGTATTTGGAGAAGAGTTTATAAGCACTGCGAAGTGACTTACTTCCTCCTACAGATGTAACGTCATTTCTACATTTTAAGAAAGCTGAAAAGTATTTATTTTGCTTTTGTAACCACTAGCTAGGAATGCTGCATCACTGCCTAGCAACTTTATTAAAAAGCAACAAAAAATAAAAAGTTAAGATTGATCATTACTCTTCTCCAAATACTGGGTGACAAAATGTAACAGAGGGCAAAGGAAAATCAGTCACTTTTCAAAACTGATCTTTACCAGGTAATCAGACCAAATTTCATTACATTTTAAACCTGAACAGCTCTCAACAAATTATCAAGATGTTTAAAGTAAAAGATTCACAATATGAAGTCTGAGTAATTAGGATATCGCAAAAACAAGTCAAGATTGTTGACAAAGCATCCAAAAATATCGCTGTGGTTTTACCTTGGACACAATCATGGTCTGTTACAAAAGTAGATCATACATACAAAGGTATAAAGAACATTAAGTTTTTAGCTGAAGGCAGCAGTCCTTTTAAAGGGACATCCCCGGCAATCCAACGAGTAGTAGAATTTAAGTATATTAAGCTCATGACAATGCTGAAGAATGTGATGTCTTATTCAGTAGAGTCTTCCCCGACTACGGTTTCCTCGCGCTCCCCAACCTCGGCCACCTCTACTTCCCCTGAAGGCTCCTCTCTGCTCTAAGAAAAAGCGAACAAGGGTTTAGGTCTTGCTTGGGACTTCATGGTACAGCAAACACAGAAGAATTGTAGCCTACAGCTCTGAATGCAGCAGTGGCCCTGTAAGATCAGAACTGGTATTCTGCTAGTCCATCTACAAATTCGTTCTGTACATAAAACCAGGACAACATACATACCAAAGCACATACGGCAAGGTGTCAAATATATTAGTGGAAGGTGCTCAATTAAATATGCCATTTGTGAAGTTGTTTTAAGGTGACAATGTTGTGAAAATTACAATACTTCTTAGATTGTATTTTGGTGACTACCACTACAAAAGGTAATTCATGAAACCATAAAAAGTGCATATTTAAAACAGAAAAGCCACCAGATTTTACAAATTAGTGCCATATATCCAAAATATCTTAGATGATTAATGATCAATTTTGAATAAGGCTAGACTGAAAACTGCACTTTTCAAATGAAGTAAGTAGACAATTTTCTTCTGTTTCAGTCACAGTATATCAAGCATCTGAACTCACATAAAGTAGATACAAGTGCTGACAGACACAGTCACTGCTTTATTAGCTATGTGAGTGGCAGAGAGTGTTGCCAAAGACGTTTCAGGTATACACACAGTGTCCGGCTTACTACTAGAAATTACGCATCTCTTTTGCTGAAAAACCAAATCACTTGGGCCATACGGTAAAATAAAAGTCTTTGATGCACTGGTCAGTCTCTCTCATAGCCCCAGAGAAATAGTCCTCCAAGAAGTCTTTCCAGTGAAGAAAGCTGATCGAAGTTATCACCAAGGCTGTACTTTTCATCATAGTTAAACGAATTAGGAGTCTCAAACTTAATTCCAGGGATCAAATTTCTTCAGTGACCTTCCAAAATTTCCTCATTGTAACAATCTTGTCAGGAGCAATAGAGAGATCTTGGTGCAAGTTGCTGTTTTTGATCCATAATGCCAGAGGCTTGAAAAATATCTATTAATTTGACTTTGCAAGCCATTCTTTTGTTGTAAGAGCCAGAAGTATAGTCACCTTACTTGGGTGGTAGTGTGTTGTCTTTTTTCCTCCAGAAAGAAAAGTATTTCAACTGAGTTAACTAGATCTCTGATTCAAGGTCACCTCTCAGGTCATGACATTGTTCTAAGTTGACTGGTATACAAACTATTTTAAAATGAAGTATTTATTATTCTAGTGAACACACTTAAAAATCAGAGGCAGTCAGTTTCTCTGAGGGCAAGATGTTCTCAGTGACAGATGTAGAAACTCAGGCTCTCAGGCTCTATGGGGGCTATGCCTCCTGCATTTTTGACTGTCTAGACTTAGCCACCACCAGCCACTTCTTGGAAGGAAGGTTGGGCAATCTACTTTCGTAGTGATACTGCCTCGGAAACCCAAGGAGGGGTTGCTATGAGTCGGGGTTGACTCGATGGTACGTAACAACAACAGACTTAGCCCCATCTATACATATGTCTGCACCTTTTTTCCCAGTTGGTACCATATTCATGATAAAATCTTCATTTTCCATGTTTCAGTCAATTTAACATCAATACACTTAACAAATAAATCAGCAATCTTCATAGACATGATCCATGCTACTATGTTAAAGACTACTAAAACCCACTCTTTCAACCAATGCCAATGTGAAGAAATGAGTTAACTTAATTGTTCAGCTATATCTCATGAGCATATGAAATCTACTATATTATTAGATATGATCTTTTTTTTTTATATTGGTTATTTCTTTTTAATCACCAACTGATGTAGCCATTTTTACAGCATGGGGATCGACCAAACTTTCTTCTTTTTGAAGGACTTCATATTGAAGGTCTACTCTGTATTTCCATGATCTTTTCAATGGTTTCAAGCGTATATTACCAACATTTTAAAAACCACTGCCTCCATTAAAATTGTATTTTAAAAATTATTTTAATCTAAAAAGATAAAAGGTGAAGGACACAAATCACAATGTTTGGTGTTGATGGGTTACTGGGGAGCTCCTCAGGTGTCAAGGAGAAATAAACACAAGAGGAGCTTGGTTGATACAGAAAAGTAGAATTATGACAATTTTGCTAAATATGAGTAACAAAATTGAAAAAAGATTTGAAAATAAAAATCCCTTCTCCCTTCTGATATCCCAGGAAAAAATAAAAAGCATCATGCTTCTCCTTTCTCTCTACTCTTAGCTCTCTGAAGGGCATCAGTACCCCAGTTGAGAAGCATGATTGTAAGGAAGGACATAAAAAAGGTAGAAAAAATTGAAGTACATTAAGTTCACCAATTGTCATCTACAGTACTAAGAAGTGTTTTCAACTGAATGGTGATAAAGAAAAGTCAAGAAAACGCTCCAAATTGTTACCAGATGAAGCATGTTAAACTCCCAAATACAAAAAACACTGAACAAAAATCTTGCTCCCCCTTTACAGACAGTGAAAGTTCAGACTTAAAATTGCTTTCCAATCAATTTATGACAAGCATTCAATTGTACAGTTAACCTCTACAGAAATATTAAAGTACTATTATCTCACCTTGAAAACAGAATTACTGAGAGTGTATTCTGGTTCAGAATGCACTCTTGAATAAATATACAGAATTATATTTGACTGGTAATCAAGATCAACTGCAAGCATGGTTGGTTGCTAGTACTACTCAACTGTATCTTCCTAAGCAAGATAAGGACGTGAGTCAGTATTATATTTATCCATTCTTCTTTAAAAAGGTCTATAAGAAAGGAAGCCAATGAAAGATAAACTTCACTTTTTATTGAGCTGCTGAGAGGATGGACCAGCAGGAAGTTCTCTATGCTCTAATGGCTAAAGGGCAGTAGGGCCACTGATAGGAGGACTGCATTCTGGACAGAGGGGAAACGCTGCAATGGAGCACAGTTCCTTGTCAGGTGATGCTTTAATATCTGACTCTACTTCTAAGAGTAGAAGTGTAGAATTAAGTAAAGATGAGAAGGCAACAAGAGGCCAGACTATGTCCAAGAAGGATCATTAATAATACGTTTGGCAGAAGCAATATTTATCCCTGAGGGAGAATGAACAAAATAGAAGAATATCTTGCCTTGAAGTTAGAATGGAAAGACAAGGGGTAGGTGGTTACTGCTATCTTCTCTTCTTTCTTTTTACTGGGGCCACTGACCCCAGAGGCATATTTTCTTAAGTGCTTAGTGTTGCATGCTCCCAATTCATTGAGCCCACAAGGGTGGGTTAGAGAGGAGTGAGATAAGTTGTTTCACCAACAGCTCTAATTCCGCAAGCTAACTCAGAAAACTCATCTGAAAGAGCTATGATACACCATATAATTTAAAATTTAATCAAGTACAATACAATTTCTGCCAATCTCACATATTGCTTGTACCCAAACGGAAACGCTCACCATAATTAAAGTTGCCCAAATTGCTGCTATATTTCCCACTAGGAGGATTATAAATCTGTCTGGCATCCCTTTTTGGTCCTGCTGTAGACTTCTTGGGTGGTGAACCTGACGTTGTATCTTCATTGGCTCTCTTTTGCCTATGACGGTAGGAAGAAAAGAAATATAAAGCATTCTATTCTATTAAAGGCTATCAATATGTTTATAATTTAGCTTATCAGCTATTAAGAACATACTAAAGATAATAGCCACAACAGTCAGATGGAAGTAACATTCTCACGTGATCAAATTAACTGTGGTTGGTTATGCACGCATTGTCAGAGGGCAAGGCTTTACAATAAGCTGAAAATATGCACTTGTGAAGACTATATGGGAGTGATTCCTATTATTACATTCGTCAGAAAAGTCTAATTATGCCACAGGAGTACAAACCAACCTTAAAGTTCCAGGGTTGCATTCCACTAATTTATTCCACAAACACTAGAGTTAGTTTTTATATTTCCAATCATTAACATTTTATTAAAAACCATTTAATTAATAATGTAAATTTTGTATAGTAAACATAACATTCAAACTGTTTTTATTTATAAATCATAAAAATTATACTCAAATCTCTTTTAAATATATTTCTTACCCCAACTCAACCTTCTGTACAGGTTTCCAGGATAATGTTACTGTGCTCTTGTAAGAAGGAGGAATGTGGAAGAGATCCTGAAGAGACAAAATTGATGAAAGATGTATTACATACTTGGTGGTAGGAAGGAGTGGTGGTGAGGGAGTATTTTAGGAGAGTACCTTTAGCTTAACCTTGCTCTTGCGTTGATGACTTGGTTTAACACCACAACAGAGAATTAAACAGGAAAGATTCTGTTTACAAATTATTCCTCATTAACCATACCATATTTTGTGACACTGCTTAGGAAACTGCAACTGAGCATGTTTCTAAATGTCATTTCAAGTTTCAGAGTAAAATACTAGCATTTATCAATTTTAATAAACATGGCTCACAAGTACCCTCCCTTGCACAGACTCAGTCACCAACGTGCTTTAAGGAAACTGCAACAGTGCAATCCGCATCTTCTTTACCCTTAGATTTTTAAGGCCTGGCTATGTAACGCCACTCCCCCCAATATTTATACATTGTCAATAAAGGAAAAATCTACAAGATGTAAATACCAAATGACCAATATATGGTAAAAATGTAAATGTTTACTACATTTAAATGTTAAGATGACTCAAATGTGAAGTAATATAACCTCCTAATATCTTCAAACTTACAAATGGTTTCTTGAATGTATTTTTTCCCACAGTTAAAATTGATGTACTGTTAGGTATCACTTCCTACTGTATAAAACCTAAGTTCAATACACAATATCGATGCAGAGAATTATCCTATGTAGAGGATTTTTTCTATTATTGAGACAGCAAACACAGGAAGAGGAAAGAGGAAGGCTTCAATTAAACAGGCTTAATCACAATGGTGATTCACTAAAATAGATGTGAAGGTACGCTGTGGAACTGGCTGACTGTGCCTAGGTAGAAACTAATGATTATGAAATGTTAAGCATGGACCAATGCGCACCATATTTTCCTGTCATCTCTGTAAAAGCTAAAACCTGATCATGTCACACACACATCACATTTAAAAAATATTTCTTGATTTTCTGGCAAGGCCCCCTACACATTTACTGCTGACACTGTTCACCACTGTTCCCCAACACCCACCTGCTAGAATTATTTTTCAATCACTTATGGTTTCCTGAATAGGAAGCTTTCATCTCCACATATTTGGTCGTAGTATTTGCTAAATTTAAACATTTGCTCTTTGCTTTTCCACTAGGTAATATGATAGCCCTCATGGATGCTTTTTTTTTTTCCCCCCCTGCAAAGTTTCTCTCTCTTCTAATAAAATTTAATTATTCTGTAGGATTTTGAGATTAGCTTTAGGGCATACCTTAAGTCCCAATTTTGTTACTATTAGGCTGTGTACTCCAGGTATTACAAATATTGTATCTTTCTCCCATCTACTACAATACTGTTAACTTGTACTAATAAATGATGGCTACTTTGATTTTTCATTCTCTTTTAGTATTTTGTTTACTTCAGTAGGTACTTGGGTGGAGGGTAATTATGGCTTAATGGTATGGTATATCATAGCCTACAGTACACAGAGTTCTCAGTTTATGACAAACAAGTTAATGGAAAAAAAAAACACAGGAAAACATTTCATGAACTACACAGAATTATCCACTCTTAGTGTGAGCATAGCAGGGTTTTACTGATCATTCTAAAGAACATAAAACAGCATAATTACGAGACCATAGTAACTGAAATTTACACCAATGTTTTAGGAGAGAGGAAATCTACATTCCTCCTTCTGTTTCAGTAATATTTTCTGAAATACATTTTAAAAAAATAAAACTATGTATGACTTTATAATAGCTATAAAAATCTCACTGGAGATTGCAAAGGTTTTAAAAGGTCAAACATCAGGAATGCAATGGCATCTCCCCTTCAACCCATAGTGACCCTGTAGGACATTAACCCAACCCATAGTGATCCTGCAGGACAGAGCAGGACTGCCCTGCGGGGCTTCCTACGCTGTAATCTTTACGGAAGGAGCCCTAATGGTGCAGTGCCTAAGGCATAGGACTTCTAACCAGAAAGTTGGCAGTTCAAACCCACCAGATGCTCCATGGAAGGAAAATGGAGTAATCTACTTCTGTAAAGATTTACCACCTTGCAAACCCAATAGGGGTCGCTATGAGTCAGAACAGACTCAATGGCAGTGGGTTGTATTTTTAAAAATCTTTATGGGAGCAGACTGCCACATTATTCTTCCAAGGATCAGTTGCTGAGTTCAAACTGCCAGCCTTTTGGTTAGTAGCCAAGAGCTTAAGCAGTGCTCACTAAACAGTAGCATTAACAACCAAAAAACACATGGGCAACTTGTTTCCAGTCAACTGGGAAGGTTGAAAGAGAAAGGAAAACTTACCTTGATTAAAACATTGATATTGTTTGTTATTTTCAATGCAACAACTTTAATCTTGTTCTGCAAAGGTAAACAAATTAAAATTTCAACAACTTTTTATGATGAACATGCCACTCCAATTTAGAGCTAGAGTAATCACTTATCCTTCAGAATCATTTCTGTAGTTAGAGAATTCCTTGGTTTCAATCTATGCATAATGTTTATTCCTACTTTTAATTTTAAGTAAGTCTAGAGATGGCAGAGAAAACAAATCTTTATATGTTGAGATATTAAAGTACTATCTATAATTCACCTGGATAGTGGGTAAGGGGTATGTCATATTCACATGAGAATTTAAAAATAAACCAGTTTAAGCTATGGGAAGACCCAATAAACATTTAAAATATTTCATTAAGACTGGGATTAAGAATGATTAAAGTAGCTGAGATAAGGGAAAACCAAACATTCTATCTAAGACAAACATCTACAGTTTGCTACAGAATTAGAAGTTTACATTTCTTTTTCCACTCTAAATTAATATTTGAGTTTTATAAAGATAATAATTAAACATATCATGACTATCAAGTCAAAATGTGCTTCTAAGACACTGAAAAGTTGGTATGTATCACCTAAGTTTGGTAACAAACGTGGTTTAAAAAACACTAGAAATAAAAGCTACTTCAACTGCGATAAAAAAGGTTTTCTATGTAACTTACCAAATAGCTAATTTCTAAGACAGTCCATATTATATCTTCAATATAGATCTGTATTTTTCAAGTAAAATAAAATCTTACATTTCAATATATGAACTGACAGTCTGAATTATTCTTCATAATTAAGATGTGTAATAGACAGTGGCTATTGCATAAGATCTTACCTCTTCTGTCTTTAAGGCCTCTCCTGTTTTCCCCTGGAGAGCCAAGCGAAGTTGTCTGATATAAACCTGCAGGCCCCGTGCAAAGTACTGCAGCCTAAATAGAAGAACTGTTTGTTAAAAGCACATCATCTCTTTGGCTTTGTTTTTAAACTCAAATGATCTACTATAGCAAAATGATCACAAGTGCAGAAAAATGGCTATACTAACTCCTTAAGATGCTTATTTTAGCTAGGTCTTCGAGTCAGTTTGAACTGGTTCCATTATAGCCGATACAGTGAAATCAGACCTGAATTTGCAAAATGTGGATATACTGGAATGGGGAAAATTATGGGTCGAAGCCTTTGAATGGGAGACTAGGAAGAGGTGTACTGAACCCCTTTCAGGAGCCTAAAACGGGAAGACTGAATTATTGCCAGGACTGTGGAGTGACACACACTCAGAATGACCAGGTAGCTAATATCTTTGAGCCTGGCACTGCTGTTTCCCACTCTGATTGTGAAGAGATTGGTTGCTATGCAACACACACACTGCCCTTGTTTTCTAAGAGGGAGATCAAGTTTCTAGCAGAGCACTGACTGTAATTTTTCCCATTTCTGAACACCTGTATTGTACAAATTTGGGTCCATTTGGTTTTGTTTCATTGGCATGACTAACTGTGAAGAAGTGGTTTGAAAGCTTGGCTAAAAGATTTACACTCATTATCTCACTTAATTCTCAGGACTCAATGAGGTATTATTGTTTCTTTTTATTTCCTGTGAAACAGTTTGTATAAAATGGAATTATTTGAAACTCTGGTAAAAATGTATTGTTGAACTATCTAGTCTGATGTTAAACATTTTTGTCAATTTCTCTAATGGCTATTATTTTTTTTAGGTTTAAAGATATTTTTCTGAGTCAAGTTTTAAAAACTTTTTCCTAAAAAATCATCCCCTTCTCTAAATTTAAAAAAAAATGTGGCCTAAGCTGCCCGATTTTTACAATTTAAAAATCTCTGCTACATCTTAAATTATATCCTTCTTTTTGTTCCCAGTAAAACCTTTATTCCTTTATATAGCATCTTACACAAACTTTATTTTCTTGATCAATCTTGCCGATTATGTTTTTGTTCAACCAAAATTTTTATTTCTATTTCATTACCCTTTCAGTTAATCTGTATTATTTCTTTCCTTCTATGTCCTTTAGGTCTATTCTTTTGATCCTTTTCTTAACACATTTATTTTCAATTTTCTCTGTCTTTAAAATCAGGATATTTAAGATTGTTTATGTACTTCTAAAGTGATCACAGGTGTCTATCACCAATTCTCTTTTTCTAACTTTCCCATTACAATCATGAGTAAAAGCAATGAATCTTGATTGCATGTTTGATGAAGTTCAGACTGATGGAATAGGCAAAAGCCTTCATCTTCTGCACTAATGGTTGGTGTATAAATTTTAGGAACAGTCATTTTTCTGTTTAGAACTTACAAAATTTATCTTTTTCCATGCCCTCATTTCAAACTTTCTAGTTCCAGTGGATGTATTTCTCATATGCAACATCTAGCTACATTTTTAAAGTGAGTTTAATAATGTTTTTTAAAAAATAATATTTTATAATGTTATGTTGTTAAGTGCTGTCGAGTTGTTTCCGACTCACAGTGACTCCATGCACAGCAGAACGAAACACTGCCCGATCCTGCGCCAACCCCACAATCCCTGCTATACTTGATCCCATCATCGCAGCCACCGTATCAATCCATCTCGTTGAAGGCCTCCCCCTCTTT